CTTCTTCTTCTTCTTCTTCTTCTTCTTCTTCTTCTTCTTCTTCTTCTTCTTCTTCTTCTTCTTCTTCTTCTTCTTCTTCTTCTTCTTCTTCTTCTTCTTCTTCTTCTTCTTCTTCTTCTTCTTCTTCTTCTTCTTCTTCTTCTTCTTCTTCTTCTCTCTCTTTCTTCTCCTTTATCTCTCTCTCTCTTCTTTTTCTTCTCTCTCTCTCTTCTTTTTCTTCTCTCTCTCTCTTCTTTTTCTTCTCTCTCTCTCTCTTTCTTCTCCTTTATCTCTCTCTCTCTTCTTTTTCTTCTCTCTCTCTCTCTTTCTTCTCCTTTATCTCTCTCTCTCTCTATCTCTCTCTCTCTCTCTTCTCTCTCTCTCTTCTTTTTCTTCTCTCTCTCTCTTCTTCTCTCTCTTTCTTCTCCTTTATCTCTCTCTCTCTTTCTTCTTGTAAGGTGAGGGGTGTTCAAGAGATTGAAAGTGACTTCCACAAGCTGGGTGGTTGATGTTGTTGTTAATCAAATTAAAAGAGATAAAAGTGATTTTTCACGAGTTGGGTTACTGGTTAGAAGGTAATGCGGTTGTTGGCTGTGACTGTCAACTGAAAATTAAAAAGATGGGAGGAATTTTTTGTGAAGTAAGTTGTTAACTTTGAGTACTGTGCTTGTTTAGCTGTCGGTTGTCAGTCGTTGTTGTTAATTTGAGTTCAAAAAGAGTTATGGGATTTTTGTGACCGAGGACAGTAAATGTGTTGGTGTGTAAATCTATGTTGGTGTGTAAGTCTATGCTGATGTAAATGAAATAGGTTGCTAGATTGAGAGCGATGCTGTTGTTGCTCGGTTGCCGCCTGATGTTTATTGTTATTAAGTGAGAGTTAAGGAGATAAGAGTGATTTTCGTGAAATGGGTCGTTGATTGTGAGTAACTGGGTTGTTAACTGATTGATAATTGAGGAGGATTATTAATAAATAAGATTTTTTTGTGTGGTGTTACAATAGTGTTAGTGTTACAATATTTCCATATGTTATGGTGTGAGCTATAGTGTCTTATCATGGTGACTATTGCGTTTGGATTGCCGTTGGTTATGAAGTGGATGAGACAGTTGGGTTATTAGTATATATTGTGGGTATGTTCGATATAATGCGGGTTGTTCTGGTTGGTGGTGATGGTGAAGATGATGAAGATGAGGAGGAGGAGGAGGAGGATAGTGATAATGGTGATGATAATGAGGATGATGGTGATGGCAGTGATATATGCATGATGTCTATGTATGCATGATTGTATGTATGCACACAAATACGCATATGTGTGTGTGTGTGTGTTGGTGTGTGTGTGTTTTTGTGTTTGTGTATGTGTGTGATTATTCATACATCTACCCATTCATTTAGTCATTTACATATGCAAAAATAAGCAGAGATACAGACAAAAGGAGTAAAGTTTATTGAAAATCAGCATCGTCGACGTGACTCCCACTTCGAGTGTCTCAAGATAGAACTTCCGCGAATTTTCTTTGCTTCATCTTTTCTTTCCTTTATTTGTCTTTTTTCTTTCTTTCGTTTATTTCTTTCTTTCATTTCTTCCCTTTTTTTTCTTTCTCATTTTTTCTTTCTTTCCTTTATTTCGTCCTTTTTTTTGCCTTTTATTTCGTCTTTTTTTTTCTTTCTTTTATTTCTTCCCTTTTTTTCTTTCTTTTATTTCTTCCCCTTTTTTATTTCTCTTTCTTTCTTTCTTTCTTTTATTTCGTCTTTTTTCTTTTTTTTCTTTTATTTCTTCCCCTTTTTTCTTTCTCTCTCTTTCTTTCTTTCCTTTATTTCGTCTTTTTTCTTTTATTTCGTATTTTTCTTTCTTTTATTTCTTCCCCCTCTTTCTTTCTCTTTCTTTCTTTTATTTCGTCCTTTTTTTTATTTTATTTCGTATTTTCTTTCTCTCCTTTATATCTTCCCCCTTTTCTTTCTCTCTCTTTCTTTCCTTTTTTCTTTTAAAACACATTTTACTTTTATTCCCGTTGTAGAATTAATACAAAATACTTTAATTTCCTAACGAACCCTTATTATAATTACTTTTAAAAACAAATAAAGACAAAGAAAGACAAGATAGAACTTTAAGCAAAGAAAGAGAGAAACTTCAAACCCGTAAATAACAAAGCAGAACAGATAAGAAATCCTCGTCTCGGGCTCCAGATGGCGTTGCTGTCTCTAGAAGGAGATAATTCTCAAACTTGGGAAACTTTCGGAGACTTTCTACGCAAAGCGGTGTCTTTGGGTGACTTCTTTTTCTTTTTGTTTGTTTTTTTTCCGTTATTTGTTTTATTTGCGTAGGGTATGCAGTGCGTGTTCCTTTGCTACTGCTGTTGTTGTTGTGATTATATTTTTTTTTGTTTGTTTGATTCTTTTATTGGTGTTTCGGTGCGTTTGGTTTCGTTCGGGTCTGTTTGTGGTATGTATGGTTTTGTCTTCTCTCTCTCTCTCTCTCTCTCGCTCTCGCTCTCGCTCTCTCTCTCTCTCTCTCTCTCTCTCTCT